TGTTGTACTCTTGTGCCCTTTCCGGGATTCCTTGTGATTGGTGTTGATATATGAAATGGGAGCTGGTTGCACGCTTGCAACGAGATATATGAAATGGGAGCGGATTGCACACCTGCAACGAGATATATGAAATAGGAGCGGGTTGCACGCCTGCAACGAGATATATGAAATGGGATCGGGTTGCACGCCTGCAACAAGATTTATAAAATGGGAGCGGGTTGCACGCCTGCAACGAGATATATGAAATGGGAACGGGTTGCACGCCTGCACGCTTGCAACGAGATATATGAAATGGAAGCGGGTAGCATGCCTGCAACGAGATATATGAAATGGGATCGGGTTGCACGCCTACAACAAGATATATGAAATGGGATCGGGTTGCACGCCTGCAACAAGATATTTGAAATGGGATCGGGTTGCACGCCTGCAACAAGAAAGAGATGAAAGTGAATACTGTGTTTGTCACCAATAATGCTGCCGTAAGTCCTGATACATCTTCGCGGCGCCCGCGTGAATAGAATACCGAGAACTATGGGCCTCCGCTAAGATCAACTCTTGAATCCCATCGACATTGGGCACATAAACTCGCCCCTGCAATCTCAAAACACCATCATCATCTAAGGTCACCTTCGTGGCACCTCCACGCTGCACCGTGTCTCTCAGGACACACAAATGGGGATCATCAAACTACCGATCACGGATACGCTCCAATAATGAAGAACGAGCGACCGTGCAAGCTAACACTCTACTAGGCTCAGAAATGTCCAACCTCACAAATCGATTGGCCAAGGCCTGAATATCCAAAGCAAGCGGTCTCTGGCTGACCGGAATATAAGCAAGACTAACCATGCTGGCGGACTTCCTACTCAATGCATCGGCCACCACATTGGCTCTCCCCGGGTGATACAAAATAGTAACATCATAATTTTTCAGTAACTCCAACCACCTCCTCTGCCTCAAGTTCAACTCCTTCTGCTTGAATAAGTACTGAAGACTCTTGTGATCAGTGTACACCTCACACGTCACACCATATAGGTAATGCCTCCAAATCTTCAAAGCATGAACAATGGCTACCAACTCTAGATCATGAACCGGATAATTCTTCTCGTGGATCTTCAACTGCCTCGAAGCATAAGCAATGACTCTGCCATCCTGCATCAATACCGCACCAAGCCCAATACGGGAAGTATCACAATAAACTGTATAAGGCCTTGAGCCTGTGGGCAAAACCAATATCGTTGCCGAAGTCAGAGCTGTCTTGAGCTTCTAAAAGCTCGCCTCACACTCATCTGACCATCTGAACTGGGGCCCCTTCTGGGTCAATCTGGTCATCGGGGCTGCAGTAGATGAAAAACCCTCCACGAACCGACGGTAGTAGCCTGCTAAACCCAAGAAACTCCGGATCTCTGTGGCTGATGCTGGTCGAGGCCAGTTCTTGACTGCCTCTATCTTTTTTGGGTCCACCTGGATACCCTCTGCTGATACAACGTGATCCAGAAATGCTATTGAACTCAGCCAGAACTCACACTTGGAGAACTTGGCATATAACTAACTATCCCTCAGAGTCTGAAGAACCACTCTGAGGTGCTGCTCGTGCTCCTCCTGGCTGCGGGAGTACACCAAAATATCATCAATAAAGACTATCACGAACATGTCCAAATATGGCCTGAACACTCGGTTCATCAACTCCATGAATGCTGCTGGGGCATTGGTCAACCCAAATGACATGACCAAAAACTCATAATGCCCATACCGAGTGCGGAAAGCTGTCTTAGGGACATCAGACGCCCTAATCCTCAACTGATGGTAGCCAGATCTCAAGTCTATCTTTGAAAACACCTTTGCACCCTGAAGCTGGTCGAACAAATCGTCAATCCTCGGTAGTGGATACTTGTTCTTTATCGTCACTTTGTTCAATTGCCGGTAATCAATGCACATCCTCATCGAACCATCCTTTTTCTTCACAAATAACACCGGCGCACCCCAAGGCGAAACGCTGGGTCTGATGAAACCCTTCTCAAGCAAATCCTGCAACTGATCCTTTAACTATTTCAACTCTGGCGGGGCCATGCGATACGTCGGGGTAGAAATGGGCTGCGTGCCCGGAGCCAGATCAATACAGAAATCAATATCCCTGTCGGGCGGCATACCCGGCAGGTCTGAAGGGAAAACCTCGGGGAACTCCCGAACAATAGGAACAGAATCAATAGGAGGGACCTCTGCGCTGGAATCGCGAACATACGCCAGATAAGCTAAACACCCCTTCTCGACCATGCGTCGAGCCTTCACATATGAAATAACACTGCGGGTGGCATGACCTGGGGTCCCTCTCCACTCCAATCGAGGTAAATCTGGCAAAGCCAAGGTCACGGTCTTGGCGTGACAATCCAAGATAGCATGATACGGGGACAACCAATCCATCCCTAATATAACATCGAAATCTACCATGTCTAAGAGCAATAAATCAACACGGGTCTCAAGACCCTCAAACACTACCACACAGGAACGATGAACTCGGTCGACCACTATAGAATCACCAACCGGTGTAGATACATATACAGGAATACCCAAGGCATCACTAGGCATAACCAAGTACGGGCAAAATAGGATGACACATACGAATACGTAGACCCAGGGTCAAATAGCACTGAAGCATCCCTATCACAGACCAGAATAGTACCTGTAATAATTGCATCTGAAGACTCAGCCTCTGGCCTGGCTGGAAGAGCATAACACCGGGGCTGGGCCCCACCTCCCTGAACCATATGTCTGTGACGATAGACTGCTGGCTGGCCTCTACCTCTGGCGGTCCGAGCTCCACCTCTATGATCTCTACCTCCACCTCTATGGCCTCTACCCCCACCTCTAGCTGGCTGGGCAGCCTGTGGATCACCTGATGCCTGAATCATAGGACGAGGACCTTACTGCTGAGAGTTGTTAGAAGCTCGAGGGCAATACCTGGCAATATGTCTCGTGTCTCCACACGTGTAACAAGCCCTCGGCTGCTGAGAATAATAGAGTGGTGGTGCGCTGATAGGTGCTGATGGTGAACAGAAAAGCTGCTGGTCAGAAGACTGCGGCTGCGAGCCACGACCACTTGAAGTACCATGTGAGACCTGTAGGGCTGACTAAAAGGGCCTCGGAGGATGGCCTCTACCATAAGAATCCCCACCTCCAGACGAGGTACCACTGAATCTACCTGCATGACGGGGCCTCTTATCTGACCCATGACCACCTACCCGTGCAAGAGCCATCTCAACTCTACGGGCCGCATTGGTCGCCTCCTGAAAAGAAATCTCACTCCCGGCTCCCAAAGCCATCTGGAGACGGATCGGCTGAATAAACCCATCAATAAACCTCGCGCCGCCATCGTCGTCGCTCGCTCGGCTTCGGCTTCGGCTTCGGATTTGGTCAACGATTGGTTGATTAATCTTTTTGAACAAAATTTCTTTCAATTATTTAATTAATTAAGGAAAATTCAATCCGGAATAACCCATGACCCGCGACCCGGTCCGGTCCAGTCCGTTTTCTTTCCCGGATTATTTTAAAAATCTATTTTTTATTTTCCCACAATGTTTCTTTCCACCTGTTCCAACAGCTATGACTGCTTTTGAAAGGTTGCAAACCTTTTCAGAAACAGTGCCAAATGGTCTATAAATATGCTTTGAATCCCAGAATCTTTACTTACTAAATTTTCTGTTTATCTTCTTCTTCTTCTGCACATTATTTTCCAGTGTGTTTTACGACCAATGAGTGGTTCGAAGTTCACCGGAGTTTTTGGTACCAATACACTGGTGAGTTAAATCGTTCTATCCTGGGAGGATATTCCAGCACTCGGGTACTTGAGGGGAATAATTTTCTTAAGGACACACTGTGTATTCAGTGGACTGAATCTATTCCTATACTGTTTTTCCAGAATTTATTTCGTTAAACTGGTTCTACTAACTTTCTGCTTATGTTTCTATTTCAGAAAGTTTAATGTTTTTTATTGGTTATTACAACAATACAGATTGAATAACAGTTAATTAAATAAAATGCGAAAGAATTCTGAATTTTAATCCCTAAAATTCAAAATCTAAGATCCACTTCTGTCAACTATACTATAAAAGAACTCAGATGAACTCTAATCGAATAAATACTTTAGGAAATATTTGGTATGGTGGATAAGCAAAACTAAATCATGGACTATACTGGGCTGAGGGTCTTCCGGAAACAACCTTTTTGTCCTTTTTAAAGGTAGGGGTAAGGTCAACGTACACTCTACCCTCCCCAGACCTCACTTGTGGGACTACACTGGGTATATTGTTGTTGTTGTAAATCATGGAATAAAAATTGAGTATTTCTTTATCCCTTGTTTGGTTATTATAAGTTATTACAGGATAAAAATAGTACAGAAATAACTTATACTTAGCAAATGGCAAAATAATGTATTATTACAAGTTAAAGCAATAAAACTGAAAATCTCAGGATTAATACAACATATCAAACAATCAAACAAAAAATAATATCAAAATAACTAACTTGTCTTCAACATCTTTTCCTCATAAATTTATTGAACGAATAAAAAAGCAAAATTGAAATGCAAAGTATGGTTAAATTGTAAATGTTCTTATCTATGAAGGGAGAAAGTGTTAAATCTGAGAAGCAGAAGGGCTTGCCGTAATAATAAGATTTGGTAGAATCTACAAATCTCGAATTTTAAGCACGTGTTTCCATAGGCACTCTAACGTTCTTACTTTCTAGCCCCCACTGCCGACCACTATCTTTGAATTCCTCTCCTCCACTCAGTCCTTTTTCTTTTTCCTTTTCCTTTCCCCGCACTTTCCTATAAAATACTATTATTATTTAATATTTTATTATTTTCCTAAACAATTAAAACGTGTTTAATGGAAAGTTGAAAAAGTCTATCCAACATGAAGTGTGATAGCGATAGATTTTTCAAAACACCAAAAAAGTTGAGTGTGTTGTAATTTCCTTTATCTACCCTACAACCTTATCATCTACACCATTACATTCACATGTTCCTCCTCTTATTTCCTTTTTTTTTTACACCAGAAATAAGTAGAGCCTTCATTTTTCCTTTTCTAGCTCAAAGTTTCTGAATAAACAGAACAACTTGTTCAGTTGCAAAATTGTAGATTTTCTTGTGATTTTTAAAACATGTCAAATTCGCAAAATTCTTTTGACGGCGGCAGAAGGGCCGGAAAAGCGCCGGAGAGATCGAATTTCGTGCAGACTTGTAATTTATTGAGTCAGTTTATTAAAGGAAAAGCTACTATTAGAGATCTGAATCTCGGAATTGCTGGAAAATCTGAAATCTCAGGTAATAATCTAGTTCATTTATGGAGTTTCCATATATAAAATTCTTTTCTCCGCGTAATTCTAATAATCTAAATTGGAAATATGTGGATTGAATATAATATTTGGAGTACTGTACCTGTGTACCACGAGGATCTGGTATTTTTTATTTGGAAATAAGGTTGAATTTAATGTTTTGGAAGGAGCAAAGGAAGTCCAAATCTGTAATTAATTAAATATTGCTCCCAACGAGATCTAAGTTCTCACTTGTATTGTACTCTTTTTCCAGGTAAAAGTGATGTTACAGAAGCTGCAACTATGGATTTATTGACAATTATGGAAAACCCCTCAATTGAAACTAAAGAACAAGAACAAAAATCCATAGATCCCGTTCGTCAGAGTGCTGTAACAGAATCTTCTAGAGATATGGAGGTGGCCGTAAATGAGCCCAGCACGAGGTTTGTTTCGTATACTTTTACCTGTTGTAACATGTAATCAGCTTAATTTTCAGGCTTACGTATGTTTTTAAATAATCTGATACTGTAAAGTTTTTCTCAGCATAGTTATAGCCTGTTTAGTCAAGCTGTTCAAAGCCAAAAATACTTTTTTCTTTCCTTTTTTTTCCAGAGTTATGTTTGACCAAGCTTTAGAAGAAAAATAGTGCTTTTGAGTAGAAGCAGAAACAATTTCGGAGAAGCAGATAAAAGTAGTTTCTCCCAATAAGTACTTTTTGAAAAACATTTTGAGAAAATTACTATTAGAATTACTTTTTAAAAGCTTGGTCAAACAATAATGACTGCTTAGAAGTGCTTTTCATATTAATTAGCCAGACATAGACATAAACTGTTTCTCATGTACTTTTAAGAAAAACACTTTTAAAAGAAAGTACTTTTCAAAATAGACTGATTTTTTAAGCTTGGCCAAACAGGTAAGGTTTTTTTTTTTTTTCTGATGTGGAACTGCTTGCGTACGTTTAACGGTGTATATAGTGAATAGAAGGTACTAATGTCACATGTTTCTTTATGTTGGTTTCCTTTTACAGCAAAGAGGCACCAAAAGAGCCTAAGGCAGCACAATTGACTATGTTCTATGATGGTAAAGTGATAGTATTTGATGATTTTCCAGCTGACAAAGCTAGAGCAGTAATGTTATTGGCTAGTAAAGGATGCCCTCAGAGTTCATTTGGCACTTTTCATACTACAACCATCGACAAAATTAACACATCTGCTACTGCTGCTGCCACAGCTTCTTTGACATGTAATAAAACTAATCAGCTTAAACCAAGTACAGTTTCTATTGCACCACCACAACAAAAGCAGCAGCAAATTCATGTTTCTTATAGTAAAAGTGACCAACTCAAGCCAGGGTATAATTCTGCTACGCCGCAAGTACTGCAGCAGCAGCTAGTCCATGTTTCTAGTACTAGTAAAACTGATCAGCTTAAGCCAGTATCAACTTCTTCTGCGTCGCAAAAACAGCAGGAGCAACATCAGCAAACGCAGTCACAGACACCTGGAACTAGCAGCTCTGGTGAGCATCTAATTACTTTCTCTGTTTTATTTTATATGGCAGTATTTGACTGGACATAGAAGAGATCGACCGGCTTTTGGCACCTAGAAAAAAGTACTTTTGTGGTCACATTTTTATGGCTATCAGATTATGTTGTTAAGGGTAAAATGTGAAGTTTATGTTAAAAGAGTTTCCAAATGCAGAAATTGTGCTACTACTACTTTTTTTAACAAACTAAAAAAGATGTTGTATAAAATGAGACAGAGCCGAGTACTACTTATTCATACTGCATAAGAGGATTTTCAGACTGCTTCTAATATGCAATACATGTTTGGTTTCTCAGAGCTACCTATTGCAAGAAGATCATCACTACATAGGTTTCTTGAGAAGAGGAAAGATAGGTAAGCAATTTAAGCAAAATGTTTGCAAAGCCGTGGAAATAGCCTCTTGCAGAGATGCAGGGTAAGGCTGCGTACTATAGACCCTTGTGGTCCGGTTCTTCCCCGTATCCCGCGCATAACGGGAGTTTAGTGCACGGGATTGCCCTTTGTTTGCAAATTGCTTGTTTTTATTGCCTTAGCGTTTCTCCGAAAATCTGACTTATTTCTTTTACATTTTTTTCCTGGTGTTCAGGGCAACGGCTAGAGCGCCATACCAAGTTGTACATAATAATCCGTTACCATCATCTTCAAATAATAATGGGGAATCATCTTCCAAGGATTGCGAAGATCAACTCGATCTCAATTTCAAGTTATAGTAAACAGTTCCCAAGTTGCAATTCCATGAGTATTTTTGGTTGGCGATTGGATAAAGTAAAGATAGTATAGTATAGAATATTGTTTAGATCAGTGATTTCAAGAAATTTTTCCAGCAAAGCTTAGCTTACAGATCATCTTTTATGTATTACTAGTAATTACTATTATTTATTATCAACGAATGTTTTGACTTTTCCATTATTTAAATATAATGTTTATTAATTGTTTGATTTCTCATTTTTCACGTTTTTCCTTCACGAAGGCGTTATATTTTATTTGAATCTTCCCAGTATTATTACATTTGTGGTACTTATTATTTTTGAGAAGGTCTTACTATTTCCAAGTCTTACTTTATTAAGTTGTTAGCATTTCCAAAGATAACGTTCACGGGTACGCTAACAATTTCTCGCTCTTTTCTTGTTTTGTTTTGACTTATTCGCTTATGATTTTTTTTTTCCTTTTATCTATTTGAAATTTATTTCTAAATTTTAAAGAGTGATAGATTGGTCTATTTTTTGAGAAATACTTCTAACATTGTCGGAAAATGTTTTCCGTACCAAACACTCAGTCATCAGTAATAGTACAATGGCGGAGACAGGATACCCGTCAATAGGGGTGTTCAAACCGAACTGGAAAACCAAACCAAACCGAAAAACCAAACCAAACCGATTAAAAAATCCAACTAGGTTTGGTTTGACTTGATTTGGTATTGAGTAAAAAAACCCAATCCAAACCGACATATAAATATATAAATTTTATTTATATTTTTAAGAGTTTATAGTGATTTTTCTTTAGAAAATGTAGAAATATTTGAGATCCTCTCATATATTAACCCTGAAAGCGTAAATTAACGAAAAAATATTGTTAGACGACTAAGAAAATAACTATCATGTGTTACTAAAAAAATTCTCCCAATAGAATATTTTAATAGATCATATGTTTGTCAATTTTTTCCATATTTACTAAACATATATTCACTTATCAAAGTTTTATCTATAATTTTAACAAAGTAAGATTGAAATAATATTCATGTAATAAAAAAACCCGAAAACCCGAAAAACCCGACAAAACCAAACCAATCCAAACCGATATAGTTGGTTTGGTTTGGTTTTAGTAAAAACCGAACCAACCCGGTCCATGTACACCCCTACCCATCAAGGGGTTCAAAAACAAAAAAAAAAAAAGTTAAAGAAAATTATAGTTAATGGGAATTGAATCATTGACTTTACAAATTGTTAGCATTTCCAAAGATAACGTTCACGGGTACGCTAACAGTTTGTCACTCATTTCTTGTTTTGTTCTTGACTTATTCGCTTATGATTTTTTTTTCTTCCTTTTATCTATTGAAATTATTTCTAAATTTAAAGAGTGATAGATTGGTCTATTGTTTGAGAAATACTTCTAACATTGTCGGAAAATGTTTTCCGTACCAAACACACAGTCATCTGTAATAGTACAATGGCTGAGACAGAATGTCCGTCAAGGGGTTCAAAAACAAAAAAAAAAGGTTAAAGAAGATTATAGCTAATGGGAATTGAATCATTGACCTTACAAAAGTTTTGAACCTCATTGACCAGTAAGCTATGCTTTTAAATATATAGAGGTAAAATTAAATTTTACCTTATATATACAATGTAATGTTTCGGTGAAGGTGAACCCTTCCGCCCCTAAATCCGCCCCAGTACTTTATCTTCTGTGAGCTTGGCATAAAATTGTCGCTCGTTGCAAACCTAACGTTTTGCGAAAAAAATCTTCCACAAAAGTCTAAAATTAACGAAATGTTTGACTTTGAGAGTAGAGAATTCAAAAATATCTTCTTTTGTCCGGCAAATGTCTGGTCCACTAAAGAAAAAAGAGAACGGTAACTGATAAATAATGAAAAATGCAAGTTTTTGAGTTTGTTTATATATTATTTCTTAGGTGAGTTGTGGGAGATTATATGTTTATAAACACATAATATGCTCATGTATGTTTATTGTGTGTAGGAATGAATTTGGATGGAAGTTGGCAAGAATTGGATGATTTGATGCAAAAAGAGTAGAGATGCAAGACCTGGAAGCATCCTACAATTGGTGCATTGCATGAAGGTAGGCGCGAAATGGCCTAGGAGATGAACAAAAAATAACGAAGTACGGAGGTTGGCATTAGACCTGACACGCGAAAGAACAAATAAGAAAAAAAAAAAGAAAAAAAAACTGGGGGTGTGCTCGCGCGTTGCACCAACTCTGGCACGCGACTCAGCGTGTCCTTTTCGAATTAGGAGAGATCAAGGACGCCCCACATCAACCCTAATTGATATAAATACATCATAAAACGTCCTTTTGAAGGGGGAGATACTACTTTATGGTCAGACAACACCCAAGGAGGCAAGAATACGCTAGGAGCAAGAAGGAAGATTCAACCACGAGTTTTTCCTTTCTTCTTCCTATTTTTCATTGTTGGTTATGAATTTTAGTATTGTAGTTTTACATACTATAATGAGTAGCTAATTTATTATCTAGAATTTTGATGGAACCTCTTGGAGGATGAATTCTTGTTATGTTTTGATATAATTTAACCTTTGATTTTATCTACTTGTTCAACTACGTGCTTATTTCAGTTGATTAAATGACCATCGATCGACTGTGCCTATTTAGTATGTGTTGCTTGAGAAATGATATAAATATTTAGCTGGTTGTTGAACAACGTCACTCCTAAGGTGTTGATACCCAATTTTTTCCTTTTATATTTTAAATATGCATAAACACTTTCAAAATATTGTGCATGCATTTATAGACATGCACAAGTGTTTTATAATTTTTCTACAATTTTTCAAGGCCCTAAATTCATTTATTTCTGCATTTTCTAATTACATAAATGTTCAAAACTATCCCTCATATTATTTTATGATGATTTAATCATCTAAATTCATCATTTATGTCATATGAGTGTTCAAAAATATTTTAATCGCATTTTTTATAATTGTGTTTGCATTTTTAATACTATAATTGCCTATTTTGCAAAACTAGCCCCTACATATGCATAACTACATTATCTATACAGAAAATAATTTTTTATATTTTTATAATATTGAATAATTATTTTAAATTACCTTCATGCTTGAAAATTATTTTTTATCATTTAATTAGCTATTTTTAAAAATTATTTTATTTAGTAAAATGGGTTTAACAAATAGCCTCTAATTTACACACAAAATCGGACCCCCCCTCCCAAATCCAATTTAACTAACCCAAGCCCAACTTAAAAACAACCCTAACCCAATTAAAATCCTACCCGACCCAGACCCCTTCTCATCCTGGCCGTTGATCTCAGAGATCAACGGCCGCTATTCCTTCTTACCATTTTAACCCAAACGACCCCCCTAACCTAACTCATTTGTTATACTCCGCCGCCCTTCGTTCCCTAACCTCTCCAACTCTCTCTCAACTCGCCCCTAACCCTAATCGCCGTTATCGGCGAGAAACTCCTATCTATGGAGTTTTCATGCATTTTCCGATCATTACCAGCCTGCTATGCCTCATAGCTGTTTGATTACATGGATCCTTGAGAAAATCTCATGGATATCCAATCTGTTCTTGCGTGAAACTTGTTTACTGGCTTGTCTAGGGCCATTCTCGTTTGTGAGTACTGATCTCCTCCTATTTTTGGTTCGAATCTTTGGTTTCTAACCGAGTTTTCTTCATCTCTACTATTTTTGAAAACCCTAGTTCCATGACCACTGGGTCTGTTCAGATCCTCGTAGATATGAAGTGTTCTGAGGTCTATTTGGTACTTTTTCCTCAAAAATCTTTTGTTTTGCTAATGTTATTTCGATTCCGTTATTTTCTGAAATTTAGGGTTCATCCCTGGTTTTCTTCAAAAGGTTTTTTTTTTTTTTTTTTACTTTCAAGTGTTTAAACTAATGGTTTCCTTACATGTTTGATTAATTTTCGTGTATATGCTTAAACCCTAGATGTTCCTATTTGTGACATTGATTTATTCAATTTTTCCGTTATTGTGTTTACTTATGTGAACCAGTTGTATTGACTGACTCTATTTTTAGTTCTGAACAATTTTCTGTTAAAACCAGTATTCTTTGGATTTTGTTTTTACTTAATTGATTTCTATTAGGGATTTGAACTATTTTTTCCCGTTAAAATCAGTATTCTTTGGGATTTTTACTTACTTTCCTTATTTGTGGCCTGTAATTAGTGTTACTTGCGTTATTCCAGCTGATTAGTTAATTTATGGTCAATTTACGATTTGTTACCTTATTTAAGCCCCAATCAGGGCTGGTAATGGATTCCCTTTGTACTGATATGACCATCCCGGATCTGTTTGTGCGGATTAATGGGGATTAGCCCCAATTAACTGATTAATTATATTTACCTACTTTATTTATGAACTCCAAATTATTTTTTTACCTTATTTGTTTCATCTCCCTAAGTGCAATGTATACACTCTCATTCTGATTCTTAAATACGAACAACAGTTCACAAACACACTCACACACAAACTTTACTCTCATCTCTCTCTGCTACTTGTGTTCATTGCTTGTCTAGCCGGCTGAAAGCCAATACTAGACTGTTGAATCCTGCCTACTTTACCTTCTGCTTCTACTTCCTTAACTGGTATGCTCCCACTGTCACACCTCCTTTTTCTAGCCGAAAGGGGATATAAGAGAGTTTTTCCAATTAAAGTGACAAAATCGAAACATGAGTATTTATATTCAAATTCAGAGTCACCACTTGGGATAATTTAAGGTGTCCCAAGTCACCGGTTTACAATCCCGAGTCGAGGAAGTTTGACTCTATTTATGGTCTGCGAACACAGAAATCCGGGTAAGGAATTCTGTTAACCCGAGTGAAGGTGTTAGGCATTCCCGGGTTCCGTAGTTTTAGCATGGCCGCTTTAATCGTACTTGGCTTAATTAAATTATCTAATTACTTATTTTAGAACCTATGTGCATTCACCTTTTTTTATTAGGAGATTATCTTAAAACAGGTCACGCGTACGTGTACCCATTTGTTTGGCGCGTCAAAAATCATGTCATGCGTATGTGTCCACAATTAATAACGCTTTGTTATTATTAAGAAAGATTAGTCGAAGTTGCGCGAACGCATACTCCGATTTTGTTTTTAAGATCGCAATTATGTCACGCGAACGTGTACACAACCACGATGGTATATTAAACGTGCCTAAAGCCAGCTACGGATATTCATGTATTATTCTTAAGCTATTTGAGATTGTTGTGATGCCAAATTTATGGACAAGATATTATTGGGGGAGTAAATAGGCTAGCTAACATGATCTATTACTTGGCCAGTTGGCCTAAATTCCTTATAGTTCAAGACCCACCTTATGGCCCATTCTTATTCTTTGCCAAGAAAGAACTCAATTTTCCATCTACCCAATTAAAAGCATTTATTCAAGAACCAAGAGTACATACATCACAATCGAAATAAAACTAATTAAAACAATTTAAATAAAAACTAAGACATGCTACTCAAACAACGTAGAATCACAAATCAACCAATACGCGCACCAAGCTATCATAACACAATAAAATGAGAATGAAAATTGAGAAATGGACCTTTTATTGATGAACAAAGCTGAAAATTGCAAATCAATCGGGTTAAACGAAGCAACAATCCTTGGACCGAAACACCAAAATCGCGAACCGGAACCCCGGACCTTCAATACAACAAGATCCTTGGCACGGTCCGCACCAATTAATTTACCTTCAAGATTCTTTTGCACTCTTTCTGCAGCGAGAATATTAACACGTGTAACTACTTCCCCATGACTTGGGTTTCTAGAAGGGAGTTACCAATCACATGGTAATTAGTAACAATGTGGCCTTCATTGTCCCAAATTTCCCCTGAACCATTTCCTTCAGGAATCTCGACTGCACCAGTAACATTAAGCGTAGGTCTCAAGGTTACATCAAATATATTGACAATACAGTAGGTATTCTTGTCAAAGAGCTCGACAACTCTTTCCTCGGAAGGGAACAATGCTCACATATTTCCTTCTCCAATTCCTCTCTTTCCCGTTTTTCAGTGTGTGTGCGCGCGTTTTACGGCGAGTTCGTCCTGGCTTGGTGAGAGGAGGAGAATCCGGCGAGTTCTGGTGGTAAGGGTTGATGGTTCTCTTCTGAGTCTTTTTGATTTTTTGAAGATGAAGGAGAAGGGTCCGAAAATGGCCGAAGCTTGGGCGTTCTCAGCTCTTAGGTCTTAGGATTTGTTTTTGTTCCAGAGCAAAGGCCCAAACGGCTGGTTCATCTCTAGGGTTCCACCATTTTTGTTTTTAGGTTTTTTTTGGTTGTAAAGAAGAAGAAGAGAAAACAGCCGTGTGTGTAGGGTTTTTGATTTCTAAGGACTGAAGAAGAAGCTTAGGTTTTGAGTTTCACGGTTGGTCCAGCTTCAAGAGGAAGTTTTTGGGGTGAAGTCTGTTGTTTTCATGGAGAGGACGGAGTTCAAGGGGGGGGGGGGGGTCTCTTGTAAAACGGCTGATGGCTCCTCTCTATCATAGAAACGGCGGATCTCTTTAGGTCTTAGGGTTTTTCTTTTATTTTGTTCAAAATAAGAGTCTAGAAGGGTCCCTAGGGTTAGCTTAATGGATATTGGGTATTGGGCTTAATGGGCTAATCCGAATTGGGTCCTAAAATTGGGCTCTAAGACTCTTAAAATTGTGGTCCAACACCTTAGTTAACTCCTTTTAATAAAAGATAAAAATACTACACAATGCAAAAACTAATTCTAATTAATTAAATTAAACTATATTAAAACATGAAACTATTATTTTTTTTTTGTATTTTCAAGATTATATAAAGATAAAAATAAGGTACTATTTTTGTATTTTTTTTAATTTTGTGAAAGGTACATAAAATAAAATATTTTTGTAATTTTCATTTTTGTGACGAAATAAAGTAAAAGTGTCAAAATTAGGTTAAATAACTAAATTAGACCTAAACTAAGTATTTAAATGCTAAAATATGTAAAATCTTGGGGAGGGTAAAAAATTACATGTCTACAGCTGGCCCTCTTTGACCGGAAACAAGAAGAGTTTTCAGATAAAGAACGACGAGACAAGTTTTTTGACCCGACCCTTATTCAGAGAGACCAAAAACTAAGAGGAAGGAGAATGTGATCGAGCCCTGGTATCTGAGCTGCCTACATATCCTTGGCTATAAAAGAATCATGCCACATGTAGTTCAGAAGTAGGAACAGTGATGAAGTATACCGAGGTGGAGAGCCGATTGAGGTGCCGTTCCATCGAGGTTCCGGTCTGCGGTCCTGTTATTACATCAAAATAAACAAAAATGAAAAAGACTAACTAAGCCTGTCAACTATGAGTTACAAGATTCCTACCTGTAAGTCTTCTAAAGCTTGATCTTGAGTCTTAAATGGTTCTTCATGCAGACTATAGATTTGAACCTTGACACTTGCTAGCTGCAAGTGCTAGTTCATTCTTCTTCAGCTTTTTCGGATCTAGACCGGACATGTAACGCTCGTGACTTCAACCACGTCTTGAGCAGTTCACATCTTTTTCTGCTTCTGCATTTTGGATTCACTTCTTTTTCCTTTCTTTTATTCTGGATTGATACTACTTCTATTGGTCATCTCAGACTGTTGATTCGCCTTCTTACCGCGAGCTTCTGCTACTTCTAACTTGAATTGTATTCTAAAATGACTTCCCTTGTTCTCCTGGTGGGCGCCTGCTACTGACTTGAAACTTGAAATAATCCCGAAACGAATTCCCTTGTTCTCCAGGTGGGTGCCTGCAGCTGACTTAAAACTCGAATGAATTCTCGTGTTCTCCAAGTGGGTGCCTGCTATTGACTGGAAACTTGAAATAAATTCCCTTGTTTTCCAGGTGGGCGCCTGATGCTGAGACTTGAAATTAATTCCCTTGTTCTCCAGGTGGGCGCCTGCTGCCAATACTTGAGCTGAATTCCCTTGTTCTCCAGGTGGGCGCCTGCTGCCAATACTTGAAACTGAATTCCCTTGTTCTCCAGGTGGGCGCCTGCTGCCAATACTTGAACTGAATTCCCTTGTTCTCCAGGTGGGCGCCTGCTTCCAATACTTGAGCTGAATTACCTTGTTCTCCAGGTGGGCGCCTGATTGCCGAAACTTGAACTGTGTTCCCTTGTTCTCTAGGTGGGCGCCTGATTGCCGAAACTTGAACTGTGTTCCCTTGTTCTCCTGGTAGGCCCCTGATTGTCGAGACTTGAACTGTATTCCCTTGTTCTCCAGGTGGGCGCCTGATTGCCGAGCCTTGAACTGTATTCCTTTGTTGTCCAGGTGGGTGCTTGATTGCCGAAACTTGAACTGTCTTCCCTTGTTCTCCTGGTGGGCGCCTGATTGCCAAAACTTGAACTGTCTTCCCTTGTTCTCCAGGTGGGCGCCTGATTGTCGAAACTTGAACTGTCTTCCCTTGTTCTCCAGGTGGGCGCCTGATTGCCGAAACTTGAACTGTCTTCCCTTGTTCTCCAGGTGGGCGCCTGATTATCGAGACTTGAACTGTCTTTCCTTGTTCTCCAGGTGGGCGCTTGATTGTCGAAACTTGAACTGTATTCCCTTGTTCTCCAAGTGGGCGCCTGATGCTTAAACTTGAACTGTTGACTCGCTCTCTCGAGGCGAGCTTCTTTTGTTGCTGACTCGAATCGAATTCTGAAAGTTAACCTTATCTTCAGGCGGGCTCCTGCTGTCTTTGACTTGAATCTTGAAAACTGAAAGTTGACCTTATTCTTCAGGCGGGCTCCTGCTGTCTTTGACTTGGACCTAAAACCGATTTCTGAAATGTTGCCCCTCGTTCTCCAGGTGGGTGCCTGCAATCAAAACAAATAAAACGAACAAAATTTTTCTGCCCCAGTTTGCACTGGGAAGATTTGTGAGTTGTTAGCAGAATTGTGAATCACATATGCTATTGGTGAAGGATGCGGTGATGAGGGTAAAACTAACGACTCGACTAGGATGTGCGTCTCCTGTGAGATTGAACTTAAGAAACACTATAAGCTAAGCTTGACTAAACTAAAAATTGACCCTATTACTCTTGAGTAAATAGTATTATAGTAGATTGGATAAAAACTTCTCTCTCGGCGCACGTTAAGCAAGGTTTGCTAACTTGCACTGGTGGAGATGGCGAGACAGAGGAAGAAGAACTCCATAGCTAAGGAATCGACAGTAGATGAGGAAGATAAGGCAGACGATGAAGATACCAGACTAGTTACACCAGAAATGGGGATCCCCTAAGCTCTAGACTCAGTGCAACTGTTCCATTGGATGAAAGGCATGGGGAGTGCACCAACTGTTATGCATGGACAAGAGAGGAAGAAATTAGAGGAACCGGTGGCAACTCAAGCACAGGCAGCTCCGATAGCGAAGACTTCTGTAGATCCTGCACCAAATGAGACGGAAATGGCGAAAACAGCTAGGAAACTTATGTTCTCAAATAAGAAGCCAAATTCTGAGGGAACAGAGATAAACCTAGCTAAAGTGGTTAAAGGAAACAGATCTCAACGACAGGGGATGCAATTGGAGTATTACCCCCCAATTATCAAGGATGGAGTGAAGATGGTTAGACTGAATCAAATTGAAGTCAAGGAGCAAATTCAGAAATGGCAGGCATCGCTAATTGGGTATGTATTGGGAGGAAATCCATCGTTTAAAGACATGGCTTAAGTTTGTGTATGGTGTGTGGAACTTTGTAGCAACTCCACAAGTTTTTCTTCATGATGATGGATATTTTGTTTTCAAATTTGAATCGGAAGATGATAAGAAGTTAGTTATACAGAAAGGGCCACATACATTTAATAATTGACCAATGATATTGAAGCAATGGGAACCTAAATTCCAAATGAGTAAGGAGAAAACCAGGAACATTCCAATTTGGGTGATGTTCCCAGGGCTGCCAGTAGAGTATTGGACAAAGGAAAATTTAGGTCGAATAGCGAGTTGTATTGGGAAACCTATATGCTCTGATAGGTTAACTGAAGAAGGTGAAAGAATTTCTTATGCGAGGATGTTGATTGAAATGGTATATCACAAGAGTTGCCAAATGTACTAGTAATTGAAGAGGAAGAGGGTATATACAGGGAACAAGAACTAGAGTATGAGTGGAAACCAGATTTCTGTGATGCTTGCTTCCAAATAGGCAAACATGAAGTTAATTGTGAAAAAGCCCCAAGTGAGAAACAAAAATACAGAGAAGAGAAACAGAATAGACAAGCTGGAATGAAGCAACAAAAGAAGATGCAATGGAAAGTAAAAGCCACAGTGGAGCAAGGAGGAACAACAAAGGTGCAGGAAAAAGCAATACCGCAGGATAAGGAGATGAATGATCAGGGGAAGGAACAACAAGAAAATCAGAACAGTGAAACTCAAGAGGAGATTTTTCAGCCACAGCAAAGATCAAAAGGAAAGCAAAAGATGAAGGTAAGCAACAAAAAAGTACTGAATGGTCATGAGATAGAACAGCTGTTAATGACTAACAGATACAGTACATTGAGGATACAAGAGCCTAGCAGCACTGTTAGAAGGGCTGAAGGGATTGACCTCAATGAGGAAAATCCCCCATGATTTTAAGTGCATGGAATATAAGAGGGCTGAATAAGCCCTATAAGCAGAGAGAACTCAAGGCCTATCTGCTGAAAAATAAAATTACTCTAGTAGGCTGCCTTGAGACAAAGATAAAGCCTAGGAGTGTTAGTAAAGTTAAGAGAAAATTTGGAAAAGACTGGCAGATGTTTTCAGATGAACAGATAAATCCTATTGGTAGACTTTGGGTATTCTGGAAAGATGCTAAGGTGCAAGTCGACATCCTGATGGTCACTACTCAAGTGATCCATTGTCAAGTGAAGGATAAGGGATCCCAATTTGAATGCTGTATTACATTTGTGTATGGCAAGAACAAGTTACATGAAAGGAAGGAGTTACGGGATCAACTAAGGATGATTTATAGTACAATGCATGAGTCTTGGTTGGTGATAGGAGACTTTAACAGTGTTCTATCTGTCAATGATAGAATAAATGGTTAGCCTATTCATCAAAATGAGATAGTAGATTTTCAGAATTGTATCAAGGATATTGGAGTTGGGCAATTGAATAGAAAAGGGTGTCAGTGGTCATGGTGCAACAAAAGAGATGCCGGAGAAGAATATACAGTAACATTGACAGGGTGTTTGGAAATGCATATTGGTTTACTAAATATAGTAGTTTAGAAGCAGTTTATGAGGTACCAGGTGTTTCAGACCACTCTCCTATTGAAATAAATACTGAAGTGGTAAGAAGTTACTTGAAAAAACCTTTTAGACTATATAATGTACTGATATACCAAAAGGAATTTCAAGAGAGTGTGCAAGAAATATGGAACCAAAAAATTGAAGGACATACTATGCATTCCATGTGGACCAAACTACAAAGAATACAGGACAGGGCAAGGCTGATGAATAAAGAGATGTACTCATTAGAAAAGAAGGTGGAGAAAATCAGAATGGAATTGCAGAATATCTAAAAACCAGATTGATAATGATCCACAGAATTAGCAGCTAATTGAACAGGAAAAGGAAATGATAATGCAAGCAGAGAAATGGGAAGGAATACATGAACAAGTGTTAAGACAAAAATCTAGAGCAGTGTGGATAAAAGCAGGTGACAGAAACTCCAAATTTTTCATGCCCAGCTAAAGAATAGACAGGCTAGAAACAGAATTGCTTTCATTTGTAATGAGCAGGGAGAAAGAGTAACAGAGCCAAAGCAGATTGAAGATGAGTTCAAAAGCTTTTTTCAGAACTTACTAGGCTGCCTTGAGACAAAGATAAAGCCTAGGAGTGTTAGTAAAGTTAAGAGAAAATTTGGAAAAGACTGGCAGATGTTTTCAGATGAACAGATAAATCCTATTGGTAGACTTTGGGTATTCTGGAAAGATGCTAAGGTGCAAGTCGACATCCTGATGGTCACTACTCAAGTGATCCATTGTCAAGTGAAGGATAAGGGATCCCAATTTGAATGCTGTATTACATTTGTGTATGGCAAGAACAAGTTACATGAAAGGAAGGAGTTACGGGATCAACTAAGGATGATTTATAGTACAATGCATGAGTCTTGGTTGGTGATAGGAGACTTTAACAGTGTTCTATCTGTCAATGATAGAATAAATGGTTAGCCTATTCATCAAAATGAGATAGTAGATTTTCAGAATTGTATCAAGGATATTGGAGTTGGGCAATTGAATAGAAAAGGGTGTCAGTGGTCATGGTGCAACAAAAGAGATGCCGGAGAAGAATATACAGTAACATTGACAGGGTGTTTGGAAATGCATATTGGTTTACTAAATATAGTAGTTTAGAAGCAGTTTATGAGGTACCAGGTGTTTCAGACCACTCTCCTATTGAAATAAATACTGAAGTGGTAAGAAGTTACTTGAAAAAACCTTTTAGACTATATAATGTACTGATATACCAAAAGGAATTTCAAGAGAGTGTGCAAGAAATATGGAACCAAAAAATTGAAGGACATACTATGCATTCCATGTGGACCAAACTACAAAGAATACAGGACAGGGCAAGGCTGATGAATAAAGAGATGTACTCATTAGAAAAGAAGGTGGAGAAAATCAGAATGGAATTGCAGAATATCTAAAAACCAGATTGATAATGATCCACAGAATCAGCAGCTAATTGAACAGGAAAAGGAAATGATAATGCAAGCAGAGAAATGGGAAGGAATACATGAACAAGTGTTAAGACAAAAATCTAGAGCAGTGTAGGGTAAAAAGCAGGTGACAGAAACTCCAAATTTTTCATGCCCAGCTAAGATAGACAGGCTAGAAACAGAATTGCTTTCATTTGTAATGAGCAGGGAGAAAGAGTAACAGAGCCAAAGCAGATTGAAGATGAGTTCAAAAGCTTTTTTCAGAACTTACTAGGCTGTACAGCAACTGAACTACCATGCATTGATCTGGACATAGCTAGGAATGGTCACTGTCTCACAAAGGAGCAACAGAAGATGCTGAATCGTAAAATAACAAGAGAAGATGGTGATAAAGCAGTGAAGGAGTTACCAAATGACAAAGCACTAGGGATAGATGGTTTTACTGCAGTATTTTTTAAGGAATATTGGTCTACAATTGGGGATGAGGTCAGAGCAGCTATACTAGAATTCTTTAGTAATGGGAAGCTATTGAAGAGTGTTAATTGTACAACATTAACACTGATCCAAAAGGTAGCCGACCCAAATTCAGTCAAAGAGTTTAGACCTATTGCATGCTGCACAACTATATACAAGATCATATCAAGAATCATCACAGCAAAACTGAAATTGTTGGTAGACTCAATTATAGGAGAACCACAGTCAGCTTTTATCGAAGGAAGGAACATACTGGACAATGTGATCATATCACATGAGATGGTAAAAGGGTACAATAAGAAGGGAGTGTCACCAAGATGTTGTATCAAGATAGATATCAGGAAAGCCTATGACTCAGTTGAATGGCCTTTCCTTAGAATGATATTGATAGAGTATGGTATGCTAGTGAAGTTTGTGGAGCTGATTATGGTATGTGTAACTACTGTTAGTTACTCCTTGATCCTAAATGGAGGGTTAACAAACAGATTCCAAGGGAAGAAAGGGCTAAGGCAAGGAGACCCAATGTCTCCTTACCTTTTTGTGCTTGTGATGGAGTATCTGAACAGAGCTCTAAAGAAGTTAAAAGACAATCCAGACTTCAATCATCATCCAAGGTGTTCCAGGAATAATATTACTCACATTTGTTTTGCAAATGATTTAATTCTTTGTTCAAAAGCAGATGAGGTGTCTATCAAATTGATGCTGAAAATTTTCAACCACTTCTCAGAGGTATCAGGGTTGAAGGCCAATCTAGAGAAAAGTGTCCTATACATTGCAGGTGTTACAAAGGAATTCAAGGAGAGGATACTGAATGAGATGCAGTTTACATTAGGAGAATTACCATTTCGATATCTTGGTGTCCCACTTTCCTCAAAAAAGCTATCAGTGTAGCAGTGTATGCCCTTGATCGAAAAGATAACAGCAAGGATAAACTGCTGGACAACAAAGTGGTTATCATACAGTGGGAGGCTCAAATTACTGAAAAGTGTGATATTTGAGATGCAAACGTACTGGGCACAAGTGTTTCTATTGCCAAAGAAGATACTCAAGATGATTGTTACTGTATGTAGAACCTTTCTGTGGACAGGGAAAAGTGATCTTTCAATGAGAGCTTTGGTAGCATGGGACACAATATGTATGCCATTGTCAGCAGGGGGATTAAATATTCTGGACATCTATGCATGGAACAAAGCTGCATTGTGCAAATTGTTATGGGTTATCAGTGCAAAGAAAGATACACTTGGATTCAATGGGTCCATAGATATTATGTCAAAGAGAAAGATGTGATGGTAACGGATACTCCTAAACAAGCATGTTGGATAGTGAAAAAAATATTTGATACTAGGCAATGGTTTCTGGAAAAACATTCAAGAAATGAGCTGGGGCAATACCAAAGAAATGGTAAGTTTAGAATTAAAAAGCTATATATTGCAATGAGACCTCAGTTCCAGAAGGTTTGGTGGAAGAAGATTACAGCAGGATCGAAAGCAATACCAAAGCATAGATTCATACTTTGGTTAGCAGTTCACAGGAAACTAGCCACAGTGGACAGGCTAAGAAGATGGGGCAATATAGTTGACAATGAATGTGTATTATGTGATACAAATGAGGAAGAATCAATGGAGAACATATGGTTTGGATGCAGATATGCCAAAACAATATGGTATACACTGGTTAATTGGCTGAATGAAAAACATCAGATTGGTACGTGGGATGATGAAATTAAATGGCTGACAAGCAGAAATCCAAGCAGAACCTGTGGAGAAATACTAGTGTTCTTATTCACAGCCATGGTGTATCATGTTTGGATAGAGAGAAACAGCAGAAGATTTCAAGGATAAGCAGTAGAAGCCAGGCAGAAAATAAAAGACATAGTGCTGGAATTGCACCTGGCTAGACAGAATGAAAGGAAAAGGCAGAAAGAACTAACAAGGCTGAAGAATTATCCAAGTATAGTATAGAATGAGTATAGTAATTGAAGGATAGATGTGCAAACAGAAAGTGATGGCTGAGAGTGTTCAGATATGTAGTAGATAGAATCTAGTTCTAGAGTAAAAAAATAACTAGCGGATGTAAATATTATTTCTTGGTTAAATAAAGTTTAAGCATTTAACCAAAAAAAAAATTGACCCTATTCCTCAGGCAGGACTCCTGAACTAAAGGAAAACTAAGAATTGTGAGCACATGATTTTTGCCCTATATGAATTACTCCTATAAAACCCAAGAAAATAAATTTTTTCCAATTATTTGCCGTTTTATAGGATTTTTGTAGGATTTTGTTAATTGTTTGCATTTTTGTGCACGTTTAATTTCAATTAAAAAATCATGAAAAATGCCAAAATACCATGCATTGCATTTAGGTTTAATTTTTATAATTTTTAGGATTAATTAATTAATTACTTGTTTTATTAAAAAATAAAAATCACAAAAATTATTTTATTTTTGCATTTTTA